TCCTGTACATACAACCCATGGCACGCCAAAACGGCGAGGGGGGAGTCGAAATTCATGAACCAGGATTAACCCCTTATTTGTCATGCGGTTCATGTACAGACATGTTTAGCTAGGTCAGTTCAAACACCTTTTCAGGTTTCTCACTGACTTCGCTTTTGGCTCAAGAAAACTGGCGCGCTGCTGGTTTTCAGCTTCGACACGCCGTCGTTCCGTCGTCGTGCCGGTGCATTTCGCTTTCGCGCAATTCGTGTTGTGTGTTCTTAGGCTGCCGTAGGTGCTCCTTCGTACGCACCCCACACCCGGTACACAACGGGGACCCGACCTTCCGGGGCTCGCCGCCGTGTACCTGGTTTCCTCAGGGTTCTCCGCACTATAGGTTACCTCTCATCCCATTTGCCCCTTAGGCAACTGTGGTGGTTGTTCCCTGTGGATATCCCTGAGCCCTTGTCACTTTCATTATAGTAGATCATAGTAGTCAAGCTCTGTCGTGACTAGGGCATTTTGAAACGTCCAAGCAATTGGAATTGATTTCAGGTCCACTCATGAAGTTCAATGTGGGGGACAAAGTGCATCTTGGATTCATTTCCTGTGCCAATCAAATTGGTTTGTTTGTCCAGGTAATGATGGGTGAATTGATCCTGATGCATCCAAGTCTGAGGGGAGCTTGTTTAGTCCAAGAGGGCCCTCCTTTCGGGGATTGCCGTAGCATGCTCGAAGCAGTACTTTCCTCCTTTGGTGGCTTGATTTGTTGCCTTCAAATTTGGACGGGTTCTTGGCGAGGTACTACCAGAGCAAGAGTTTTGGCCAAAGGATCATTGCCACAGTGGAGGGCATCACATCCGAGGGCTTCTACGACCTGGATGTTAGGCAATCTGCCGATCCTAAAAACATATCGCCATACATAGCAGCCTGGCTTCACCTGGAATGTTGGGCCACGTCAGACATGGTGGGCATTTGTTGGTTTGAGAAAAGATAAGATGAGCGGTCTAGGGAAAGAGACGTGGCCTCTCTCTTACTTACGTTTTTAAGAATATGTATACTGTCGGACTGAAACTTAGAATGCCATCGTCCGGATCGGCGCCAGGGAGGGATACCTATCAAAAAGAAAATTGATTCCTATCAAAAAAAACTTGTTTCCTATCAAGCAAACATTAATTCGTATCAAAAATAAAATTACCTCTACTCCTTTGGTCCTGGCCTGCTGGTTCCCTGATCGCTTGGTCCTTTGCTCCCTTTGTCCTGGTCCCTTGGTCCCCTGGTCCCTTGGTCCTCTGGTCGCTTGGTCCTCTGGTCCCTTGGTCCTCTGGTCCCTTGCTTCCCTGGCCCCTTGGTCCTTTGGTCCTCTGGTCCCTTGGTCCTCTGGTCCCGTGGTCCTCTGGTCCCTTGGTTCCCTTGGAAGCCTTTCAGTGCTCAGACCTCGTATCCACTGGATTTGTGCTCCAGCTATGGCATGATGGCCCGGTTGCAGTTCTGAAGGAGTCCCGGCTGCAGTTGCTTTCGTGGCTCCTGCTCTGGTGGCTCCTCTGTGCTCCGCTCCTCCACCAACAATCTGGCCAGAAGCATCCGGTAGCTGCAAGCCCTACGAGAAGCTGTGCATTGCCCGGTCCCAATTCCGGGAGCTCCAACCGCTCGACCTTTCACAGATGACGCTTTTTGGAGCTAAAGGTGAGGGTAGAGCGCATACCAGGGTGCGCTCTAAAGGGGTTGGAAACAATTGTGTCCCCGGCAAACCATGCCCCAAAGAACCTGGATTAGGGCCCCAAGAAGCGCCCCTCGGGGCACACTGTCCTCCAGTCAAGCGCAGTTTCAAAAGAGCCCTACGTCGACTGGCGCTCAATGGCTTTGTGGTCTACAGAGGCAAGCTGCACACCACACTGCCGGATCCTGCGCCGCTGACTTTCCCCCCACACCATCCAGAAGCCTGAAGCGGTGCCT